CTTCCGCCGTGTGCGATCCCCCCCCCACCGCTGCCCCGCCTGCCCTCACCCCTCCCGCCGCCTGTGATGCCTCCCCTGAGACGGCCACGTCTGCAGCCGTCCTCGAGCGTGGTGTGAGCGTTGTCCGTGAGCGGACCGCACCCTCTTGCGCGTCGGGGCTGCAGTCGTACGTGGCAGCGGCGCGCGATTGTGCGCCGGGACAACATTTCCCCCGCCCTCTCTGGCTGCCATCGCGGAGTCGACGTCGAGGACGTCTTTCGGTACTGCCCACCCTCCTGCGCGTCGTCTGTCGCCAGCGTCGTCTATGCGGAGGCCTCCACTCCCCCGCCTGGACAACTTCCCCTGCAACGGCACGTCGTCAAACTCGTCGAAGTCCGTCCCCTCCTGCGTCGCCACCTCCTTCGGCACCCACTCTTCATCCACCACGTAACTTCCATGTGTCGGGCCGCCTTGGAGGATCTTCCTCTTGTTGCTGGCCATGTGGCTGCCCTTCTTCTCCCGGATCGGCGGTTGTTGTGCGAGGTTGGCAGCGGCCTTGCCGCGTCCGGAACCGTGGGACGACATGGCGCAAGACACACCCACGACAACCTTGTTCGCCCGCTTCGCTTCAATGACGTGCCCTGCGCTATCGAAGCCAACTGTCAACTGCGATGGTGGTGTTGGCGACCCTCGACGACGGCCCGCAACAGCGATGACGATGGCGACGATCGCTTGGTATGCGATGATGGCGACGTCCGCGGTGACGATGACAATCCCGACGACGAAGGCGATGATGTTCGGAAAGGCGATGAAGGCGGTGAAGACGACGGGCGAGATGATGTGCACGCCGGCGACGATTTCGTCGAAGACGACTGCCAAGATAACGCAAGCAGTGAAGATGGCTACGTTGGCGACGGACGTGGTGACGATGACGATGACGGCGACGAAGGCGGTGACGATGGAGACGATGGTGATGAAGGCAACGACGTTAACAAAAAGCGATGATGACGATGATGGCGACGAAGGCGCTGATGAAGGCTACGAAGGCGACTCACGCAGCGAAGACGACTGCAATGGCGACGGAACAAGCGCGGCGGGCGGCGCGGACTGCGTCAGGGAGAGAGAGAGAATGCTTTCGTGCATTTGCGAAGAACGCCCGCGTCCTTATAAACATGTGTCACGCGGGGTGGACGGCAACGAAGGAGCAGTGGGAAGGCCAGTCCAAAGTCATTTCCATGCTCCACCAAACGATACGAAAAGCGCAGGGTCATCGCAGGGGGCGAGACGAAAGGCGAAGGGTCGCGGGCGAGACGGCCGTGCATCCGCTGCACCGCCACCCATCGTCTCGCCTCCCTTCGTCGATTGTGGACACGGAGGGACCCCACAGCCCGAAATTCTGCCCCCATAAATGACTCCATCCCACTCCCCCATTGTCCACACTCCATGCCGGCCAGGAACGTACCCGACGGCCAAACTCTTTCTCTTATACACATCTAGATGTGTATAAGAGACAGTCCCCCTCCCGACCTCCGAAATATAGCACCCCACCCGACGATCTACCAGGGCGCGAAAAGAGGTAAATAAACCAAAACAAAACACATAACACAAGCTGCGGTTTGTACAGCTGTGATGACTGGACATCCACATTTGGGGGACGTTTTTAATCGAACCCAAGTACGCCTGTACTCCATCGACGACAAATTGAGTGTATGCACAATATTAGCAAATGCATACCAAAAATGGACGACATTACAGACAACACGTTCATGGCACCATTGCATTTCATTTCAGGAGAAGACACCAAAACACATGCTGGAGAGAAAGAGGGAGGCGATTTTAATTGAACACAAGCATTCTGAAAATAAACGGCATTAAACACAACACCTTTATTACACCTTTACATTTCATTTACGACGAAGACACAAAGAAAGAGAGAGAGAGAGAGAGAGAGAGTAAACGAAATCGAAGTCGTCATCTGAAAAAGGAAGTGCATACTGCACTTCATCGACGCCAATTACAATTGAGAGTTGACGGAATTATCCGTCCCGTCACACGGCCGAGGCCTAAAACAAACCAAACGAACAATGCAAACAAATGAAAAAAAAAAACAAATGTCATTGGAGGACTCATCCACTGAATTGGACCACTACCCAATTCCCTGGCCAGCACCACCAATGGGGGAACGCCACATCGTGGACGACGGCGATGGCTACATCGACGACGGAAAGACTCTCACTTTCGCTCCGTCCACATCCATGGAAGCGAACTGAGAGCACAACAGAGGCGGCACGAAGTCTAACGCTTGGCGATGGCCTTTGCTATCTCCAGCAAGGCGTGGCACATAAGCTTGCGTAGTGCTTTTTCTGCACTTCGACCTCCGCTTCGAGCGCCTCGCACTGCCGTATGGCGATGGAGTAGTGACGTTTGTTGTTGCTCTCCATCGTCGACGCCATTAGCGCCCCGTGCTTCTCCATGCATTCAGTCATTGCCTCAAAAGTTTGCTGCCTCGTGCTCTTCCTCTTGCCGAAACCGCCTGCGCCACCCGTTGTCTGCAAAGAACCTCTCGTGGACCCGTCGTCGTCGTCGTCGTGCTCTGCACCACCGTCCCCATCGCCCACAGATTCAGTATCCGCATTAGAGGCGCACGGCAGACGCACACCACCCTGAGGACCAATGTCGGCGACGTTCTTCGGGTTTATGGTGTGGTTCTTGGCGGTCGACCCCAGTATCTCGTCGTAAACCGCACGATCCATATTGAAACTAAAGCCCTTCGACATCCTGTCCTTCCCAGACAATTGGAAGAAGTCCTGTTTCCCGGACAGTCCTTGGAAATGATGCACCTACTTCTGCATCAGATTGTCCCACTTCTTCCCGCACCGATCGGCCTCTCTGTCGACGCCCACCTTCTTCAACCTCGTTGCCACATCTTGCCACTTTCATTCTTGCGGCTTCATCCGAGCGTACGCGTGACCCATCCCCTGCAGATGCGCATCCTGATCACGTTTAGCCCAGATGAGGGCTATCATGTCGTCGACGGACCAAAAGTGATGACCTCCTTCCCCATCGACGTCACCTTCGGCATCGCTACCCTTGCCCGCCGCCCTTTTGCCCTGACGACCATTGCCGGCACACGACTTCGTCTTCCCGCCCCTCCCTCCCATAGCGGCCGCCTGCTTCGACGACGAAACGTAGCCTGCGTCGTCCTCACCTTCAGCGTCGTTGTCGTTCCAGTCGGGGTCGTGCGCGTCCGCCACTTCTTCCTCGCCGTCATGTCCGTCTTCCCCAACACGCAATTGCTGCACCCCCCGAGTTATGGACTCCTCCCGCCCCGACCGCATCAATCGTCACTGTTCTGCCCACACCTCCCTCCCGTCATGTGCGTCACCAACATCAGCGATGCCACGCGCCGTCTCCCCGCACTCACCAAGACGGCGGCCTGCACTCGAACCGGCGGACAGGGGAGATGGAGACTTCATCCAGTGGGGGCGAGCGGAGGTACCCCTACACACAGACGGCGACCGAAATTGCTGCCTCGGAGGATCCGTGTTGTTCCCCGAAGCCTCCCGCAGTGGCGCTGGAGACCTGGATGCTCGTAGAACAACCGTCACGTCGCCGCCATCGTCGTCGGGATGGGGGTTTACGACGACCGTTCGAGAGACGGCTGCCGACCTCCCGCTACCAAGTCCAAACGACAGATTCACACCGCCATCGCCATCGTGGTCGCTGAGCCCCTGCTGGAGGAGTTCGGTGTAGGACTGCCCATTACTGCCCTCGCGGCTTTCAAACAGCTCTGTAGCCGCCCACTCCAGGGTGGATCCGCTTCCCAACGGCACGGTCCGTGACTGTCTATCATCCGCCTGCTCGTCGGACGTGTCTGGTAGAGGTTGTAAGTGCGGTGGCAGGTGCGCGTACCCAGACCGCTCCGACGGCCTTGAACTATTCGACGGGCTGTGCCCGGACCGCCGCCCACCGTGCTCCCCTGCCGACCCGCTGATCGCCTGCCGGCCCTCCATCTTGGCGTCGTTCTTCAAAGACCTCCTTCTGCGGCCACGTCGCGGAACGCTGCCGAGGATGCACACGTGGAAGACAACCAGGAGGAGGAGCAATAGGACGACCAGTACCAGCAGCGGCATTCTCCGAAAGACGTCGACCATGAAAGGCACGTGGATGATGGTGGCAGCTAGAAGACAACGAGGGATCTATCACGTAACGGCGAGGGACAGTGCTGCAAACGCTTGAATGCAGCAAACGACAAAAGCAAGGTAACGTATTCCATCTGTGAAGACAGTGCGCAATCACCAGGGCGGGGATCGGTTGAAATATTCGAATTTGCCGACCGTTGGGCGCCCGCTCGGGGCCAAGGGCAGCGACGCAAGACAACCGCTTTTCGACGTCGAGGAGGCCAGCAGGCCGCGAAAGGGGACCGTTGTTGGACTATTCCATGACGCCGACCGTTGCCGATCGAAGATGTCCGTCCACGGGCGCCAAGAACAGCAGTGGTGCATGGTCCAGCTATAGCTGCCGCCAAGTTTCGTCGATCCGCCGAGCGAAATGTTTCATTTTTGTGTTGGCTGGCTCCGCATTGAGTCCTAAAGCCTTTGTGGTCTGGTAGCCCAAAGCGTGCAGGTCGTGATGCGTTCACCACCTCTACCCCCGCCGGCCTAAATTCCTCTTTCCAGGCCTCATGGACTGGGTTCTTAGGGGGGGGGCGACTAGCAGGCGCAGGAGGGTTCGGTCCAAAAATTTTCAAGCGCGAACTTTGGCGATTTTTCGCGCAAAAAAAAATGGACGAAAAAATATAGAAAATTGAGATCCAGTAGATTAGGTTATGATCATTCCAGGAAAAATATCAAAAAAATGAAAGGAAAAAAAAAACATTTGAACCGGGAAATAAATGCCTCGCCGTTTTGTGACATTTTCCATTTTTGTCACTCTACCACGTGCGGTAGTGTGTGGACCACAACTCCGTTAGTAATCATCAATCCGTATAGAAAGACGGGCCAGCCCGAAATAGAACAACAGGACAGATAGAGCGAAGCATAAAAATTACTAGAAAGATGCATAGATGAGGAGACAAAATATTGATGAAGAGGAGGATAATAGGCAAATAAAAAAAATCCGGGGCGCGACTTAATACCAAAGATAATATCAATAAGCCCATCGGCAGGGACCCGACTAGTCGTCATCATCATCCTTATTACCACTATCTTTAGGGTGCTGTCCTTCGTCATCAACAACATCCAAGCGTACGATATTTTGGCGAGGGGGATGGGGAGAGCCCAGCTTTGCAGGGGTTTCATTAGGCGGGTGGTGAAATCTTGGAGGGGGCATGGGCAAATTGTGAGGAATACTCTTTTCTGGGGCTGGGCATCAAATCCCAGCGGGGGCAGATTAGGGTTAAGGGATAGATAGGGGAATGGAGAGAATGGAGAAAGGAAGGGAGAGTAGGGATTTTTTCTAAATCATCTCATCATCCAAATCATCATCGTCATCATCATCATCCATGTTATATCATGCTTTCTGGTGGGCTATAATTCTCGGCTGTTTCTGGCCTCCTTCCTTAATCGTGATATAGGATTTTRGAGATGGTTGAATCTGGACCGATATCCACAGAGTTGCTTTGTCTTTACCCCTGGTTTGGCGATGCCAAAACGACGCTGGCCGGAGCTGGGGCGTTGCTCTGTAACCTGCAATTAGCAGGAGCGTGAGGCCTTGTAGAGAGATCTGGGGATTTGCCGAGGGAGGAAGGCAATCCTGTGGCGAACCAGGGGGGTTGCCTGAACATCCTATGGGGCCAGGGATGGTCTAGGTGGCGAGAACAGGTCAGCTATGGTAGACATTGGTTAGGAGGGTATTGTCTCTAAGATGTAATGTCTGGGTATAGGGAGGGCTAGGGGGGTTCGACGATTAGGAGGCCAGAAGCGTTGTTATAACATAATATAATCATCATCATCATCATCATCATCATCATCATCATCATCATCACATTATTTAGTATCATTTTATGATTAATGATATATTAAGTTTTTTTGGTGTTCTGAAATTTTGGCATCATCTGGCATTCTTCCACATTCGGAATATAGGACTTTAGAGATGATTGAACCTAGACTGATTCATACTGAGTTGTTCTTTGTTGTGCCCTTGGTTTGTCAATGCCAGAACGACGCTGGCCGGTGTCGTGCGCATCGGTCCGGCACCGCATCAGGGCAGCGCGGGACCCTTCCGGCCGCGTCACGCAGGAGTTGGTTTTATATCCTTCGTCGCGAATATACATGGAGCTTCCGCAAGCCGCGCCGACCGAGTGCGCCAGCCATACCTCTCGCGAGCCCCTACGACAGGATAGGGCCTATGCGAGGCACGACTTACCTCCACGTTACGGGAGCTGTCACCTCCCTTCGGTGGGCGTATCCCCGCCGAGCTACCAGTCCACAATACGGAGCTAATCAGTTGCAATCGCAGAGGTGGACCAGCCGAGGGCGTTTCTCGTTCGCTGTAGCATAGGGGGTACGCGCGGTAATACGCCTCTATCGGACCCGCACGCGAACCGCCATCTTAGGGGCTGAAGTCCCAAGCGCGGCCTGTCGTCGTTCGACTAGGACGTATCCCACA